ATCATTAATGGAGAACCAATAAAAGCTCGCAGACTTATTACTCCCTCTGACAGATTAGTGATGTCTAACGTATGTCCTACGATCCCACATAAAGTTCTAAAGGATCGACTTGAGCAAATAGGAGTTAAACTCATCTCACCCATCACCTTTCTCAAGATCGGGGCAGCATTACCGGAATACAGCCATATCTTGAGTTTTAGACGTCAGGCGTATATAACACCTGATGAGCACAACCTCATCCCAGAGTCCTTAGAAGTCACCCACGAAGACTTGACTTATCGCATATTTCTATCACTAGATAGTCAAAAATGCTTTAAATGTAAACTCACAGGACATATCGAATCTCAGTGTCCATTCACACAATCAGACACACCTGTATCCCAGCAGACAAACTTTAACCACAGCCAAGAGCCTCGACCTCCGAAGACAGCCCAAACCAGATCGAGACAGAATCTAATAAAATCAACACAATCTCAAACACACAAACAAGTAACAAACGTAGCCTTTCTGAAATATTATCGCCGACAACTGAACTTGAACCTACACCTCCAAATACTGGATATCCTACTTTCGCTACACCAAAAAACATGAGTACAAAGAAACCTAAAACAGACAACCAACCACAGCACATAGCAGACAGTGCTTTCGAATCAGTTAAATTATTCATTGACAACCAAACGCCACCACTTGTATTGAACTCCGCCCAATTGAAAAGTCTACTGGAAAATTCGCATGGTGCAAAAGAAATATTTAATATTGTCAATGATCACTCATCCGACTTCAAAGGAATAATAGAAATGCTTCTGCTGATTTATCCACATATCACAGACAAAGCACTAAAAAATCGTTGCACAAGATTAAGAAAGAAGATGGAGAAACACCTCGAAAATAATTCTAGTGATCTTCTCAGCGACACCTCGTCCGTAGACTCTACCTTTTAATATAAAAATTCAAATCTATAATACAATGGAATTTAAATGGATATTATATCCATTTAAATATGCTGCGCAAAATAATTGCCGATCACACACCAGACATCATCTGCCTACAAGAGACACACTTCCATCAAACAAAAACACACACATCAAAAGGCTACAAAGGATTTTTTAAGAACCGTGATACACCTACAGCCAGTGGAGGAGTTGCAATATACATACGGTCTGAAATACCTACCAAACCAATAGTTTTAACTACAAACTTAGAAGCTATAGCCATTACCGTTGAATCAACGGAACCAATCAACATATGTTCCATATACATACCCCCAAATTATCACCTCGAAAGTAATGAAGTTGAATCATTACTTCAACAAATACCATCACCTAAAATAGTAGTTGGCGACTTCAATGCACATAGCCACACATGGAATTCATATAAAAATGACACTCGAGGTAATATGATAAAAAATGCAATGGATTATGCGAATATGATAGTTTTAAACGATGGCAGCAGCACTAGATTAGATTCTGCATCAGGGCGTTTTTCTGCAATCGACCTTAGCATATGCTCACCAATTTTAGTAACACAATTACAGTGGAATGTTGCTGATGACTTATATGGAAGCGACCACTTTCCCATAATAATAAGAAATACAAATAAGGAAGTCACCAGTACTCCACCAATTGAAAAATGGAATCTAAAAAAGGCTGACTGGAACTCTTTCTCTCACCACATTGATACTAATATAGAGAAAGTCAAAGTTTCCAGCAACATCAACTCAACTCTTGAATCATTCATGGAAGTTATTAAGGAAGCTGCAAATCAATGCATGGGTAAAACAAAAATTTTACATAATAAGAATCCAGTTCCCTGGTGGAACGAAAATTGTGAAAAGGCTATACGTGAAAGCAAACAAGCACTAAACAAGATGCGAAGACATAAAACAACTGAAAACTTGTCTGAATTCAAACATAAGCGAGCTAAAGCACGGTTAATAATAAAAACGGAACAAAAGTTATCATGGAGAAAATTCGTGACCAGTATAAATACTTCTACTAACGTATCAACAGTCTGGAAAAAGATAAAAAGCATGTCTGGAGCCAAATCACACACAAATATTGAGTTACTGAAAGAAGGGTCTCAAATTTACACTCAAAGCAATGATATTGCGAACGTTCTATCGAGGACCTATTTTAGAAACTCCAGTGATGAGAATCTCAACACGCAATTCCTTAACCAGAAAAGACACTCTGAAACGGAAATTGCTACAAATAAAGAGACCTCTAGTCCAATAAATACTCCAATCACTAAACAAGAAATGGAAGAAGCCCTTCTTGATTTAAAAGATACATCACCAGGACCAGATGACATACCAACAATTTTCCTCAAAAATCTTACACCTTCAGCTAAAAATATCGTTTTGGACATATACAATATTATATGGAATGAACAAGTATTCCCAGATATATGGAGACAAGCCATAATCATACCCATCCAAAAGCCAAACAAATCGCCACAGGCACCTGAATCTTACCGACCAATTTCCTTAACATGCTCAATGTGTAAGCTATTGGAAAAAATTATTAATCGTAGGCTATTGTGGAACTTGGAATACAATAATCAGCTAGCATGCGAACAGGCAGGATTCAGATCAAATAGATCAACATTGGATAATATAATAGACCTAGAATCATGTATACACGAAGCATTCGCCGACCAACAACATTGTGCCGCAATATACTTTGACATTAACAAAGCATTTGACACCGCATGGGAATTTAACATAATCCGTAAATTGCAAAACTGGGGATATGACGGAAATATCCTCGCATTTATCCAAAACTTCCTGAGAACCAGAAACTTTCAAGTTCGAACCAATGGCACACTATCTGAAAAGCGAGAACAGATAAATGGCCTACCTCAAGGATCTGTCATTAGCCCAACGCTCTTTCTTATAGCCATTAATGATATTATAGAAAGCATACAAAAGCCTGTACAAGCACGCCTGTATGCTGATGACATGATTATATACATTAAAGGCAAGAAGATTACAACCAGTACCTATTTACTTCAATCGACATTGAACCAGCTGGAACACTGGTCTAATAGAAGTGGATTTACATTCTCACCACATAAAACGGAGTGCATTATATTCTCAAAAAAGCCTAACCACACAAAACCACCACTTCACTTAGCTAACATTGCTCTTGAATATTTTAAAGAAATCAAATTTCTTGGGGTAATTTTTGATCAGTGCCTTTCATGGAGAAGCCACATCTCCTATCTGACACAATCTTGCCAGAAAGGAATAAATATCCTCCGATACTTATCTAATAGACATTGGGGTGCAGACGGGAAAACTCTTCTCAGTATCTACCGAACTCTAGTTAGATCAAAATTAGATTATGGTTGTGTAGCATACAATTCCGCAAAGCCATCTATACTGAAACCACTGGATACACTACATAACACTGCACTTCTCTTGATATTAGGAGCCTACAGAACTACACCCATAGACAGCCTATGCTGCGAATCTGGAGAAGCTCCTCTGCAGGTTCGAAGAGAAATTTTAAGTTTACAGTATGCCACCAAAATTGCCTCTAACCCATCATTACCAGGATACAGACACATTTTATTAAGAAATCAAACGAACCCTAGAAACGTGCCATATGGTATATCCTTTCACCATAGGGTACAACTGTATTTACAGCGAATACATATACACAGACTGCCTCCGGTCCTGGCCACTACCAGTTCATCTATTTCTCCTTGGACCATTCAGCCTCCTAACATCAACATTAAACTGACCAAATTTATCAAGCAAGACACTCCGAGCGAGGTAATCATCCAACACTTTTCATCCATTCGACACCAATACAGCAGTTACAGCGAAATATACACAGATGCCTCCAAATCAGACACATATGTAGGAGCAGCTATAGTAACTCCAACAACAATTGTGGAAAGCAAGTTGCCGCAGTCAGCTACAGTGCTCACTGGTGAAATATACGCCATACTTGAAGCTGTTCGGTATGTTAAACAATGCTCAACCAACGATTGGATTATCATAACGGACTCACTAAATTCTGTCAAACTACTGGATACAATATACTGTAAAAACCCATTGGTCAATATAATCAAGACCGAAATAAGCGACACCCCACACAAAAATATCACCATCCTTTGGGTGCCGTCACATATAGGGATCCCTGGTAATGAGTTAGCAGATCGGAAAGCAAAGACAGCTATCAACAACTCAATCCTGTCCATCGAAGAGGTACCAGCTTGTGACGCCACGGTGCATCTAAAGCAGAAAATAATGGAGAACTGGAATGATAACTGGAGAAACAAGCCATCTAAACTACGGGATGTAAAACCGAGCTTTGGAACATGGCAAACCATCACCAGCAACCGACGCATGCAAACCACCATCACACGACTCCGACTAGGACACACACGAGCCATCCACGGATATCTTCTAGCCCAAGAACCTGTGCCTATTTGTGAAATTTGTGACGTGCAGTTAACAGTGAAGCACATTCTAGTGGAGTGCCCAATGCTTGAAGTGTATAGGATAACGTTCAACTTAGAAAACACTCTGATAGGAATTCTAGGTCCAAAATGTAGCATAGCAAATCTTGTAAATTTTCTGAAAGCCACTAACTTTATTTATAAAATATAATCAATTCCACCGCTAATGACCATAAGGTTGAAGCGGATAGTTAAAAATAAATATGTACTTTTTTGAATATTGTATACATGGAGCCCTGGTTGGCATGTAAGAACAGCATTTGATGATTGTCCACCAGGTGAAAATAAAGGCTTATTATTATTATAACACTTTTGGTCACACTTGGTTTTGTGGCCTAGCACAGATAAGATGGATGGATATTTAGTATGAGAATAAGCATTTTTTTTTTATTCCAGGGGTATCATGATGTAGCAATAACATTTCTCTTAGTGGTAGGTGAGGCGGTGTCGTTTAGAATTATGGAAAAATTAAGTACAGAGTATTTGAAAGAATGCATGGAGCCCACAATGGAAAAAACTTCATACAGGTTAAACTACATCTATGCTTTGCTTTCTAAGGTTGATCCTGATCTTCATAACTTTATGGACAGGTAATAATGGGTGTGAAATTGATAAACAAAATTTTGGATCTGGAATCCTGAGTCACTGAATCCAAATATGAGAATCAAAAAAGTCGGGTGTGTCCCAGTGCTATCTGAATCTTGGCACCTGTCTTACCCAAAAATAAGATCTCATCCCAATCTCAATCTTCCTAACATTTTTGCTAAAAACGAATACAATCACCAATTTTTGCATATTTAAATCCTTTATTCACAAGTGAGTTACACTGAGTGACAAAAAAAGGTAAACACCTATGTAGGTTTATCTGATTTTAGACATATATGTTCAGTGTCCCTTAAGAGTAAAATGATTAAATTTTCAGCTTGATTCAACTGACTGCAGAAGCTAGTTCAATAATGTGTTGAGGGCCCACGATTTCTTATACACTCATTGACACGTCTGGACATCATGCTGATAAGGTGGTCGATATCCTGTTGGAGTATCTGATTCCAGGCTACTGCAACATCGTGAGTAAGAGCTGCTAAGATCTGTGGAGGGTGTTGCAAATTCAAGAGCCTGGGACCTATCATGTCCCAGACATGTTCAGTTGGAGATAAGTCAGGCGATCGTTGTGGCCAAGGCAAACGGTTGATGCGATGTTGATCCATGAAGGCTAATGATGCTCTGGCAACATGCGGTCTGGCATTGTCTTGCTGAAGAATCGGGTTTTGGATGGTGTTTAGGTATGGAATAAGATGAGTCTCCACTACTTCCTGAATATAGCGTCGGGCTGTCATATTGCCTCTGATGAAAATTAGTGATCTGCTACCATAAGCAATAGCACCCCATACCATAACTCCCACGGTGTCGTGAACGTGACGACCTCTGTCAAATTGTGGGTCACGTCTTTCACCTCGTCGCCTTCTCACACTTGCCCGACCATCGTGCATTCTCAGACCACCTGATTCCATTCCCAGTCCCATAGAATTCTTTTTCTATACCATAGCAAACGGTTACGCCAAACTGTCTTATTCGGCGATATACCGTACGCATACCAACCATCCTTCCATGCTCTTCAAACCACTGATTAGCGATGGCTCGAGTACTTCTGAATCTGTCTCTCAGAGACAGAAGTCTTAATCGGCGGTCTTGTCGCTCTGTGGTCCCTCTGGGACGTCCAGAACCCCTCGCTCGCTGTCCTCGGCCTTGCTCGTTCACACTGCAGTATTCTGCGTAAGGATCTGTTGGCCCTCCTAGAAACTTCTCTCATTTAGCTTGGACACCCGGCGAATTCTATGCACTCTAGGCATTTTGAGCAATCACAAAAAGCCTTTTCAATAAGCTACACAAAATTTAATCTTTAAGTGACACCGTAAATGTACGAAAACTGAATGCTTCTTTATCACCAAACAATACACGCAGCCACTACAAAAACTTAACAGGAAAACCTAACCATTTTATCACTTGTTGTTCAGGGCAAGATAAATCGATATGTAAAAAATTATTGAATTCTAATAAACATACTTAGGTGTTTTTTTGTCACTCAGTATATATTTTATTGTCCTACTGATTTACTATTAATTTTGTTCAGTGCCTCAGTAGGAACAATGTTCGCTCTACCCTGGTACTTGACATGGTTTGGCCATTCATTGAATCAATATAGAGATGTAGTGAGATTGTATGACTACTTTCTGGCATCCCCACCATTGATGCCCCTTTACGTGGCTGCATCACTGGTAGTACAGCGACGGAACGAAGTATTTGCTGAAGGATGTGATATGGCCAGCATACACTGTCTACTTTCCCAAATTCCGGACGATCTTGATTTTGAAGATATTTTGGGTAAGAATTTAAAACCTTATTTTGTTTTGTGATAAATGAAATCTGACGTTTCCTTCGGATTGGCTTTGTAAGCGCAGAATCTAGCGTAAATAGGCGAAACGGCTGTTTTGGGGCATTGATTTCGAATATGGTTGTCAAAAAATTCTGAAGTGTAGTCGGTCGACTTTAGAGCAGCTGCTCGGGACATCTAGTTGTTCCTAGCGTTAAATTGACGTCGGATTCGAAATTTATACACCTGATATACCTGTCTTTTCTCATTGCACGTAAACCTCACCATAAAACTTTGAGAACGTTGACGTGCAAAATTTCTAGTTTTGTTCTCCATGGTTATTGCAACGAAATGGAATATAGTACAGCCGCAGTTTTGTCACGGTTTTTGGCCTTTACGTCACAACGTCATATGAAACAAGTAAACAGACTGACTAACTGTACCAAGTCAGTTAGTTTCCCTAAGCAAGGGCATACACAGCTCGAAACGGAAGGGGGAATCTCCACAAAAATTTTTGGTTGATTTTCCACAAAGCATATCTACATAACTATGCTTAATATTTTTCATCCATTTCATTTATAAAGAGTCTTCCACGACGAAATCATATGGATATGAAAACTACTAAGATTACTTTTTTGACACATTCAAGCAAAAATTGCGCGATATGCTTTTTTAAGTAAAAATTTAGTCGTTTGCAATAGTTGAAAGCAACACTTGAGATGATATAGCCAAAAATAGTGTTATAGAATACCTAGAATGATTTGTACCTAATTTGTTCTGGAATGATTTGAAAAACAAATTTGTCATATTTTCTCCATTGTGATCTCCGAAGCGGTTGAACGGTGGCAAAGTTACGTATTTATATATTTTAGAAAATGCATTCGAAAAGTTTTGATGCTGCCAGTATCTCCACAGATACTCGGAAAAGGGAACGAACTTTCCCGAAATCGTTTCTAATTTTCTGAATTTATTTAAGATATTATTTAAAAATAAACTGCACTATGACAGCTACTTTTTGATCTCTGCAAGGTGGCGTAGATAGAACATTAATGTGATTTTTCGTCTTTTATCCGGCACGGGTATTACGTATCTTGAAAAGCGACATTTCGTAAGTTTTTCTTGACATTTCGTAGGTTTTTTGTGACATAACGTCGGTTTTTCTACAAGAGTTAACTTAGCACAAGCTGTTGCACACGTGGAATGAATTATTTGCACACTAAAAACTAACTAGTCTGACAGATGACATTTAGTCGTTTTTTACATTTTTTTAGGTTTTTTACCTAATACCCCTGCCTAACTTCATATAGTTGGTTTAAACTCATCGAATGAAGAACTACATAATGTAGTGTTAAGGTTAGGTAAAGGTAATATTGAAGAAATCGAAAACGGTATAATTTTAAAAAACAGAGCTGAAACGACAGATCGAAATTCTTATTACGTCATCGTGTAGAAGACAAACAGTGGTAAGGTTATTGTGTAATTTGTTTTAAATTTGTAGACAATGTGGATGTTTGAAAAGTTTTCTTTCGGACTAAAGTCAGGAAAAATAAAAGCGAATAAATTCGGAAATACTTTGAATTTCCAAACTGTCCAAGTTCCATTTTTTTATTTACCTACGCGACTTGCGCCCACAAAGTCTTCCGTGCCATTTAGGCGAATGTAACAAATCAGGATTTACTGTAATCTGTCAATATATTTATTATCGAATGTGATATTTATTGGCCGTGTAGCCTAGACGTCAGTAATTATTGATGCATAACGTTATACAGAAATCCACTGATGGTATGGACCACAGTAAATACTGATCATATACAATGTGTTTGGTCACGACATACCGATATTTGAGGGGGGTATTTTTCAGCTATTCTTATCGACAAATCCACCCCCTACAATGTCCTATCTCACCCCGCTTGAAATAGCAGCCATTTGTATTTTTACGTTACGATTGCGCTAGTGCGAGTATGAAAATTGTAATAACTGAGAACATAAGAGTCACAGCATGATAAATTTGGTGTCATTTAAACGGTAACATGTTCTAGCGATTATTGAAAATCTTGTATTGATACTAACCATCAAACATACTTAAAAACAGAAAAAATATGAAAGAAAATTGATTATTTTGTGCATTTCCGCACACCATTCAAAAACTAGTTTGTGAAGTTGTACTTTTTTTGTGCTAATTCTACAGCTAACTATGTTATCTACAAAATGACACCAAATTTCGTCTACGTTAAGTAATAAATGCTATCTAACATGGGTCAAAGTATACATAAAAATGACAAATCAAAGTTTCTTATAAATAGTTTGGACATGTTTAATGTTACAGAAGCTGTTCAAAATGCCCTCCATTATTGGTTATGCACATTGCATTGTAGTTCTTAAAACAATGTATCGTGTTGAACAACGAGTCATATCTTTGACTTTTTGCTACATTGTGTCCCAGAAAAATCTAGTGGCGTTAAATCGGGTGATCGGGGAGGCCAAGCGACAGTGCCTCCACGTCCTATCCATGGAGAATGTTGCCTATTCAAATGTTCCAGCGCAAAAGCGTGTGGGAGCTCCAACCACATGTTGCGGCGGTTGATTGGCGTAGATCTGAAAACTCGGTACTCCATAAGTATAAAAATCACTGGCCACCTAACCTTGGAGGTAGCTCAACTGCGCCGACTAAAACTCCTTCGATCATTCGGGCCCACATGTTTACATCAAATTCCCGTTGGAAAGTGCTCAGTCGAACTGCGTGAGCGGTTTCCGAAGACCACGAGTGGTCGTTTCTATGGTTTATGATCCCCTGCCTCGTAAATTTTAATTCGTCCGTCCATAGAATTTTTTGTGACATTGAACTATTTATAAGAAACTTTGATTTGTCATTTTTATGTATACTTTGACCCATGTTAGATAGCATTTATTACTTAACGTAGAAGACTTAGGATAACAAATTTGATGTCATTTTGTAGATAACATAGCTGTAGAATTAGCACAAAAAAGTACAACTTCACAAACTAGTTTTTGCATATTTTTTTCAGGTTTTGTCTGTTTTGAAGTATGTTTGACGGTTAGTATCAATACAAGTTTTTCAACAATCGCTAGAATAACATGCTATTGTTCAATTGACACTAAATTTATCGTTCTGTGACACTTATGTACTCAGTTATTACAATTTTCATACATGCACTAGCGTAATCCTAACGTAAAAATAAAAATGGATGCCATTTCAAGAGGGGTGAGGTAGGACATTGCAGGGGTGGTGGATTAGTCGATAAAAATAGCTGAAAAATACCCCCCTTAAATATCGATATGTCGTGACCAAACACATTGTATAGTGCTCTTAGCAAAATTAAGTTTATATCTAACATATATTTCGACTAGTCCTAGTACTTTCCATCTAATAGATATTGATTCAACTTGTGGAGAATTATATATTATTATATTAAAAAAATGTTATCACCATTTAATTTTTGCCGAGGGAAAAGCCCTTGCCTTCTCCTGGGTATGCCCTTGTCCCTAAGTGAAATTACACACTACACAAGCCGATCATTTACGCAGCTGCTACTCGCCTTCGCCACTCATGAATTGGGTGATAGAAGACTGTTGTTTTCATTAACTTTCCTAAATACTAAAATAACTATAACACATACTGTCGACATTGTAGTTATATTGCACATACACATGGATTGAGTAACATAAGATCATTATTTTCACTTACTTTGTGAAAATAATCCAAAAAATTTAACACATGCATAGGTATGTGTAAGGGAGATGAATGGATGAAAGTAATTCCTGTAGTTTTACTGTGACCTACCAAAAACCGTGAAAAAACCTATACGTAACTTGTGGCGCAGAATTCAAATATGATCTTCAACAAGGATTCCAAGAAAGGTTACCACGTATATCAGACATCCGTAAAAATGAATTTTTGATGACAAATTTGACATTTTCGTTGTTTCTAGTTACAAGTAAACGTAGGACGGTACACATAGATGATTTGAGACATGGAATTCAAATATTACCTTCAAAACTTCCGGACTAGCATCCTGGAATTGAATTTGGGATACTAAATGTGCCACCTGGGATTCCTTTTCGGTTTTAGTGAATTTGAAACCTAGGCAGATACTCGAGAATTTTTAAAAATTACCTGTCCAAAAATCGTGTTTTTTGTTTGTTTTCGTTTCAAGCTATCCTTTCGAATAGCCTTTTCCGGGGTGTTCATTTGAAAACTTCCCATCACGGATTTATCGGAAACTGTTGATTAAAAGAAAAAACGCCGAGACACGTCAAAAGATTAGTCAAGGGGGACAACTTTATTCGAGTAATAGCTTATTTGAAAGGTATTTCAGATACGAAAGAAAAACACACGAAAATATCACTTTTCATTTCAATAAGTGTTCCAAATGTTGCCAGATATCCTGGGAGAACTGTATTTATTGTCAGTTAGTTATTCTTACTAAGTTATTTGTTGCTAACTGAAAGAAAGAATTTAATATAATAATAAATGTCTTTATTAGCAACACAACAATAGGGCGAAGTTTAGCCAGTTGGCTACTCTTACACCCAACCCTATTGTGTGAGGAAATATGTATATACAATTCAAAGTCACATACATGCAACCTAAAAGTAAATACATCGATCTGGCTTTCAACTAAGTGAGCTAACAATAAAGGGAAAAAATACAGTCAATTGATAAATCCGCGCTATATTGGTTTGCCAAAAAGGAAACAGTCAAGGACCAATACTGAACGGATGACAACACAAAAAAAAAACATAAAGATAATAACTAATTATGATACATCTAACAGCTGATTTTTAACCAGCTTCCTGAATGATACTACACTTTTGCTTCTCCATGCAGGGTCGGTTAAGTTGTATAACCTCACAGCATTGAAAGTGAAACATTTTTGAAACAATGCTGTGTAGTGCAAGGGCATTGTCAGATTATTATTATGCCTCAGATCTCTAAGATTAATGATTCCTCTAGTTACCAATTTACTATGGAGGTAGATGGGCTTTTTAGTACACAATATCTTATGCACAAATACCTTAAGACTATTTTCAAATTGTTTATCCATTTTCAGCCATTTCATCTCATTGATCTTAGAGGAAACATGACTATATTTTCGAAGACCATACACAAACCTACAGCAGTTGTTTTGCATTCTTTGGATCCTACACCGATTCATTCAGTCAGGGCAATGGTAGTATAAGGTTAAAGCATAGTTGAGGCTGGACATTATCAAACTTTCTTAGCCTCTTACGTGTTTTAAAGTTCAAAATGAATCTATTATCTAATGTGCTGTTAGTTACCTTTGTGACAATCTTGGGATAGTGAAAATTAATGTATTGATTCAGATTTTACTTCCAAAATGGTTTACACACTAGCTGAAAGAGTGGAAATGATTCTAATTTATGGTGCCACGAATCAATGTGCTCGACAAACTGCTGTCACATTTAACGCCAGACATCCGGGGAAGATAACTTTGCATGTTTTGGACATTTTTACTAAATTTACTCAAACTGGCTCTGCTGCAAATAAAAAACGTGATCATCGGAGAGTTCTGGATGAAGCCGCTCAAGTTGAAATTTTGGGTCATTTTGGAATAAATCCTAATACTTCATTATGCAAAAGTGTTGCTGCGAAAGGTATTTAATAAAGCTCTGTACACACAGTTACTAAGCTCCATAAATTTCATTGAATTATGACTGCAGCGATTAATGATAATACCATTCATGTAAAGAATATCTGCTTCAGTGATGAATGCACATTTTATCTAAATGGATTTGTTAATAAGCATAACTGCAGGTATTGGAGCAATGAAAATACTCATGCTTTTGTAGAAGGGCATACCCAGTACCCCCAAAAAATTAATGTATGTGCAGGTATTTTAGGAAACAAAGTGATTGGGACATTGTTTGTTAATGCAAATTGGAATGGAGACATTTATTTGGATATGTTGGAAAATACCATCAATCCGCTTATCACTGAAACCATTGAAAACCAAATTGAAGAGGATGGAAACCCTATACTTGATGAGTCTGAAATATATTTCCAGCAAGACGGCGCTCCTCCTCACTATGTTCTTCCGATTCAGCAATGGCTAGACGACGAGTTTCCAGATAAATGGATAGGGCGAAGACGGTCTATAGAATGGCCTACTAGATTGACGCCATTAGACTTTTTTCTATGGGGCCATTTGAAATCCATTTTGTTTACTCCCCAACCCGAAAGTTTGGATGAACTTCGTCAACGCCTCATCGAAAGCTTGTTATGAAGCCATGATATCCCACATGTTTTTGAAAATGTCCGTCAGGAATTTCAACATTGCCTATATAATTGCTTGCTCAATAACCGGCAACATTTTAAACACTTATTGGAGTAAAAAGTGTTATTTTCGTGTTTTTGTTTCCTATCTTAACAAATTAAGATAAATATTTTTTAATTTTCTTGAAAACGAACCGACCGATTTTAAAAAATCAAACGTTAAAATAAAGGTCTTCGGAAGACCTTTCAAACAAGCTATTACTGGATACCCCTTGTCATCTAAAATGTTTAAGGGGATGACCCGGGGGGCGCAGAGGGTGAAAGGGGATGAAGTATTTTTTGGTTGAAAAGTTGCCCCCCGTGACAAATCTTTTGACGTATCTCGGCGTTTTTTTTAATCGGTGGTTTTCGATAAATCCGTGGTGGGAAGTTTTCAAATGAACACCCTGTATAATTTAGACAATCGTAAAGATGTTTTTTCATTTTTAGAACGAGCAGCAGCATATTACAAACGATACCCACCTGAAAAGCTGGAGCATCTTGCGAAGAAACGCGTCCGTAAAGAGTATGTAACGTTTAGTTTGTTTTATTTCCTGCACAACATTGTCGGCTTTATCAAACAGCTGTTTAGTTTGCGATTTTATTTTGTATTGCTTTCCTCTGTAATGTACCGTGGATACAAACACAAGCACGACTAGATAACACCATTTCCTTCTATTTCTGGTATTTGATTTTAATAAATTAGATTGCATTTTGTTTCTAGATGTATACTTTTTTCTTACACCTACGCCTCCTAGTTCTTTGCTTATTTTGTTTGCAGTATGCTGCAGGTTTTTCAAGTATCAGGTGTCAGAGACTTGAAACATTGTTGTTGTTATTATTATTTACGCCATGCAAGTATTCAATATGCAATATGGAAAAACGCATTTTGAGACGATTTAAGCTTAAGAGAATTGATCAAAACGTTTGTAAAAACATTAGTAAAACGAAAATAGTTTCAGCTAGCATTTATGTACCGGCGATTTATCTAAAAAATTATCTATACTTACTTAACCGTCTTGGATTGTTGGTGTAATGATTTTAACGACAGTATAGGTATTAGAATGGTGTATACCATTTAGGTTTTGACATTAACTATTTTCTAAAGAAATTTAACCGCAAAGCATGAAGGTACTGATGAGATAATTTTTAACTAACTAGAAAAAAACAATGAAAATGCCAGTAAAGTTCCTTGTCTTTTTTTCTTTTGTCCTAAATACTGCTATATGTATTGCATTCAATGAAATTATTTTCTTTAATAACCCTTTTTTGACACTTGATACTTGAAAATGTAGTCAACCTATCCTGCACAATGGCACATACTATTTAGGTAAATACACATAGAAACCACATCTAAAAACAAATTTGACTCAACCTTATTTTAGACTTGAACAACGACAGCGTGATGAGCAGATAATGAAGAACCGATTGAACAGAAGCAAGAGTTTGTGGGTCAGGATAAATCGGAATGTACCAAAATGGTTGTTGTTTAACTGCCGAGGAAGATATGGCTTATTGTTTGCTACAGCAACCGTTCTCTTTGGGTATTTTTATTTCGTCAAAATATCGGAAGAAAAATTCTCATTCATGAGGTAGGAACTTGATATAACTTTTCTAGTTAACTTATTATCAACATCTTGTAAGTGCCAACTGAGTGATGAGAACAATCTATCGCATCGACAATTATTTTACTAGAGATCATTTTCCAAATAAAAAATTAAAGATGATTTGTGGACTGAAGAATGTTGGTCGTTCTATTAACTCTCTTTCTGAGAATATAGTTGAAATATAAAATATGCATATTTATCATGGTTTTGTGATTTTTTTAAATATCATCCCTCCTAGGAAAATTTGCTGCAATACGTTCTTCAAACAATTTTGAGGATTCATACACTTTTACAATATACATAAACTTTTCTTTCTGATTTCTAATCGCTCCCCCTCTCTCAGAAGGATGGCAGCGAGTTTCACTAATACCCGTTTTACATCAACAATTTCTTCACGAATTTGTTGTCAATGTAAAATGGGTATAAAGAAAAAATTGCGAACTTCATAACATGCAACAAAAATTCATATTGAACATATTTTTTGAACGCGCTGCTTTTCTACATTTTTTCCAGAAATGATTTTTTCAAATATAACCTGCATTCTTTTCAGCATGTTTAATACTTGACATTTGCTGCTGTCAGGACCAATGAAATACATGACCCATAAAAAATTTTATACGATATTCTAAATATTTATTTTTGTATTATAAAATTGTAATATATTTATATATGGTGAACTTTTTAACCCATAGGAAACTTATCTCTGCATGTTTTGTGTAATCTTAAGTTATTTCTATACTTTGTAACTTGTTAGATCTGCAGGGATGCTAAACTATCAGTAAAATTAATTTTCTCAAAATACAGGAGTGGTCAAGAAGGTCTGGGAGGATTAGAAACATAACCAAAGGATTGGGATCACAATCCATTATTATTATACTACGTTGTTTGCTACTTTTTCAGTTTAATTTGATGCCAATGCTTGTTCTTATGGTGTTAATAATAAAAAAACTGAATATAGACTGTAAAACTGTTTTGTTGGGTTAAAAATTTTACTTTAATGGATAGGTGTTATTCTTGTATGTGCAATACCAAAATAAGCGCTTTAAACAAAGGTGAAAGTATTCTTTTTACAATTTTCATTCAATTTTTTATATGGTTTTGTATCTTTAATTTATTGCAATAATTTACGTTGGAGTACCTCTATTTATTATGTACAAAAATACTAGTTGAATGATGTAATTCACGTTGTTGCATAGTAAACGATTGATTATTTCCCAGAATATTATTTCATTTGACTCCCCACTATTATTCCAAAAAGGTCTTTATATTTCTGCCAGTTAGTCTAGTAGTTTTATGACATTTTATTCCCCGCTCAAAAAAAAATGACTAGTAAGAAACTGCTGTTGGCTTACCATTGGCACAGTCAAGGGCGGATTCAGGATTTCGTCTAGGGGGGAGAGGGGTGCAAACGATATTTAAGGCGGGTCATTTTTTAACCTCAGTGGAACTTCTAGAATTTATCCTGTTATTGCTTCTTAAATCCATTGTGTTCTATCTGGTCAAGGCCAGTTTGAAAAAAAAACATGGAAATTGCTCAGAAATCCCCAGAAAGCCAATATTTTATCATGTGAGAACAAAATAAGTACGTGGCATTTATAATTAACTAATAATATTAAACATTCAAACATAAAAAACTTCATTGCTCTATTAACAGACAAAAAATGAATAAAACATTCTGAGGGACCCCGAGACATATCCCAGTTCATTCCACACAAAACAATATCTTGGATTGCGAAAACGAACATGAGACCAAAAAACTCACATTATCGTATGGACGCTAGATAAGATAAAGAAGGATGTCTGTAAACCATCTATACGTAGTCGTGCCATAAGTTCTGTCCCATGATAATCTCATGATAAAAATGAAACAAGATAAGATATATTTATATGAAAGATATTATTTATTCGACAACATTTTTAGAATTCATAATCAAACAGTTTTATTCAAAATGTCCCCCCTTGGCCTTCACACACTGCTTCAATCTCGCGGGCCACTCATCTATCACTGCACGCACAGCTTCCAAAGGAATAGCTGCCGCTGATCGGATCAAATCCGCTTTCAGGGACTCGATATTACGGTGGGCTTTGGAGCAGGCCAACTGCTCTAGCAGGTCCCACAACTTGTAGTCTAAAGGATTGAGGTCCGGACTCCCTGAGGGCCAATCTTCCGCAGCAATGAACTCTGGCACATTGCTTTCCAGCCAGCGCTGCGTACTCTTAGCCTTGTGAGCGGGGGCGGAATCCTGCTGGTAGACCCAGTGTTGGTTGGCAAACAATGTACCACTTAAAGGCTTGACGATAGGATCCAGTATGTCGCTCTGATAGTTTGCCGCTTTTGTTTTCACGCCCTGTTTACAGAAATGGAGCTGAGTGACCCCTTCGTAGGACACCCCCCACCAAACCATGACTGACGCAGGGTGGTGGCCTCTCTCAACTCTCGGAATGATCTCCGAAGCTTCCTGTGAACTCCTTGCATACACTTTGTCATTTTGTCGGTTGAATTTTTCTTCTATGGTGAAGATTTTCTCATCCGTGAACAAAATCTTTCGGAATCCCCCAGCTGCGTACCTCTCCAAGAGCTTCTTGGATCTTGTCGCCCTGACGTGTCGCAAGGTGGCCGTAAGTCGCTGGCCCGTACGTCTCCGGTAAGCCCCTAGCCCTAGGTCTTGTTTAATGATGCGCGACATCGTCCGGACAGGAATCTTCATTTCCCTGGATAGGATCTTCTGCTTCCGGAGTGGATTCCTTTGAATCCTGGCTTTTACGGCTTTGATGGCTGCTGGAGTCCTTACTTGACGAGGTCTTCCGCTTCTTGGCCTGTCATCAACAGAGGACGTCTCATTGTACCGCTGAATGGTCCTAGACACAAAATTACGCGATATTTGAAGGCCGCGTAAGAGTTCAAAAATCTGACTAGCACTGTGATTACACTTATGTAAAGCTATCACTGCAATACGGTTCTCTGCCTTGCCCCACTCCATCGTTATGCTTCGAGAGATCAATACAAACTGAGGTATATGTAATTACCCGAGAAGCGCTTAATCAACTGACACCACAATGTAAACAATCGGACAAGTATTAACAGGTCTACTCTTGTTTGAAAACGAGGGACAGAACTTATGGCATGACTACGTAGATCGTGTCTTGAGACCGTCTCCAGACTGCCTATAGAAAAATTGCGCAACGGAGTCTACTAGTATGTAATAAGCTTAAGGATTAAGACTTTGAACTGCCCATTAAACAAATCAAGTAAGTCGTGCAAATACTGACACAATCAAGCACTTCTATTATATCAGCAGTATGAGGCATGTATTAATCCATTCCGACGTGGATAATTTCGGTTATCGAAGATCAGACAGCCGACGCATCCGCGTTAGTGAAACAGACACTTCTCCAAGGAAAGGTAGAGAAGAAGTCTCTGAGCCCCTCCCAGTCGGCATGTCCGTAATGCCAAATTTTGCGGCCGGTGCGCGTTTCTGCTGAAACAGCGGGTTCTGACCGAAACCTAACCTCCACAACACAGTGGTCCGAGTTACCCAGGGGGGCAGGACAGCAGAGCTGTAAGAGACAGGATGCGTGGTCAGAAAGAGATCCAGCAGGATACTGGCATGTGACGAGACGCGGGGCAAAAAAGTAGGGCCCGTCACCAGGGGCAGCCGATGAGTAAGAGCGAACGCTTTAACCTCACGATCTGCTGCATCGGTCTTGTTTGAGCCCAACCAAAGCAAATTATGGTCATTGAAATCACCGAGGAGAACTACCGGCGATCTTGACGGCGAGGTAATCAAGAAGGTCATCCCAGTTATGGTCCGAGGGGAGCGATAAAGGCAGCAAATAAATTTGGGGAATGTTTTGGAGTTGAGGCGAAGCCACAGAATGTCCTTCCAGTCTGATTACAGAGAAACATCTCTGCAGCAGGAAAGACTGCTGCGGACAAAGGCCACGACTCCCCCGTTCTTTCTCAGATTGGAGTGCACCTCGTAATTTTGTAAGCTGGTTGATTTTTGTCTCCACCAAGAAAAGCATGGCGGGATGATTGGATTGCAAGTAGTGATGAATAGCATTAATGTTGCTGTTAATCCCGCAGATGTTCGTGAAACAAATTCTATCTTGGATGTTGTTCCCTCGAGTCCACCCTCCACCCGGGCATTCTGAGAGTGGAGTGAGCTTACATCCGGAATTCTTAGTACTCGAGGGATCCATCATCATTAACTTCTTTGTTTTGGAAGATAACCGACTGCATAGCTTAGGTGTGGAAATATGCGGACTATTATAAGACACCCTAAGAAAAGCTATAGGGTTTTACCGCCTCGGTCGACTGGTCTTTGTCTACCACCTTCTTTTTGCGTATTAATGATATTAAATAGACCTAAAGTGGCCCGTTGGCGGGCTTGTACCGCCACCCGGCAATCGGTACTGAGGTATTCCTTAGCGCGTGTACAATCACTTGTACGGGAAGAAGTTGTGTGTTGGATACAACAACTTCCGGAACAAGCATTTGCCACGGCCCGCTCAGTAGGGGTTGGGGTTTTTGAAATTCAATATAGATGTTACAGTTATTTTTCAGACTTTCGTTGTCGAACTTAGATTTACGGCAAAGTTGTTTTCTCAGTTTTCGAACCGGTGTTGATCGCATGTAGAAATGTTGGAAATCCTTGGAAAAAACTATATCTGTTAGATCGCAATTATTTTGATAATATATGTTTGTACTAAACAAGTACAGGAGTACAGGGCTGTACATATTCACGTATAGTGCACCAGCTCTGTGATTTAAACGAATTCAATATAGCAACATAAATAGACACATACGCGAGAAGAGATGCGGGACGTGTGGTATTGATTTTTAGCATCGTTCGACGCAGTTTCTAGACAGGCCACAGGCGCACCGCTAAACAAATCTCATAAATGTTTATTTCCAATTTAGGCATTCATCTAACATAGTGCTTCGCTGCAACACCAACCTCGAACAAAATCAGTCAAGCTTTACACACTTCAAATTACTATTGAGGAACAAACAGAACCTAAATCACTTTTTAAATGCAATCTGTATAGCTGATATATTACCCAGACATAGATTTGTCACAAGTCACAATACTCGTATATACGTATAAATCGTGTTGTGCTGTAAACAATTGATGTCAAAGAGCGACAGCATTTGGAATACCAAAGGATACCAAAAAATCATAATGCTCAGTTCCTATAGCTATAACTTATAGTTAGTATGCCTCTGTCACCATGATGTGACAGAAAGTAACACAATGGTGTTAGATTGCAAAAGCAAATGTCAGAAGTCTAGGGGGGCGCGCCCCCTCTAAATCCGCCCGAGGGCACAGTTTTTTCTATACTAAACCACCAAAGCACAGCCGAAATATCCTGATTCAGGGACTGCTTTATTGGAAACAGAGATATGACATTATTTTCCTTATGTTCCTTTGAAGTTGAGTCAATTTTCAGATAATGATTGTAGATGTGTAAAAATAAAAAAAAAATTTACCTTGACAAGTATTTCAGTGCGGACCTGTATTTGATCGTGCGGTCTTGGAGCACCGACATGCCCTCCCCTGTGAGGTCTTAAGTTACCTGATTCACGAGCCCTTTGTACTACATTAACAAAGGTACGAGGGGTTGGTTGCACTCGATTGGGGAACCGATCCGCATAAATCCGTGATGCCGCGGCAGCATTTTGTAGACCCCCCCCGTAAATACGAATCATGTCCACAAGTTGTTCAGCATTTTCGTAAACATGTGCCATTTTTATTTTTTATTTGATTTGAGCCACGCAACAAACACCACTATTCACTCACGCGTTACCGACTGACACATTGACTGAATACAACTGAATAAAATTGTAGTAAAAAACATCGTGATAAGCGTTTCAAATTCTTTCGCTTTTTTGTTTCCGTTGCGATGAACCGATAAGGCGGATTATATCCGTTGTTGCCAAACACGAGTACATAATATTATAATTGAGAAAGAGCGGTACTCAAACTTCTAAAGGGCTATAACTTTGTTACTTTAATTTTACCACAAAAATGTTAAAGGAAAAAACATTTCTTTTGATCAGATTTACTCACTGTTAAAATAAATGACTCAACTTCGAAGTCACCCTGTATATTTTTTTATATTTTTTCTTCATTTTTTATTTACATACAGTGCATTCCAAAAGTTAAATTCACTTAAAATTCAGGTGTGTGTTCGAAAAAAAAACGCTCGTTCCCGTCGATTTTTATTTCAAGTTGCGCATTTTTGTACGTATAGTTTGTATATACAGGGTTGCTCAAAAATAAATTACGACCAACAACTTCATTTTTTCAAATGAATGCACATTTTTTTTTTCATTTTTGAATTTCGCGTGGAATTCTACGTATCATGTCCTATACCTAAAGTCAACAGTTATCGAAAAAAAGACCATTCATGTAACAAATGAAAAAAGAACAAAAATTAAATTAAATGTTCAAAATGGTTACCATTCACGGCTTGACAATATCCAAGGCGATCAATAAAGCCTCGTTGCACATTTTCAATCATTTCCGGGGTAATGGCGCGCACTTCGCTCCTAATCCTCTCTTTCAAGTCGTCTAGATTATTTGGCCTATTAACAAATACCTTCGACTTGAGGTATCCCCACAAAAAAGTCCATTGGTGTTAGGTCAGGCGACCTAGCAGGCCATTCGATGGGTCCTCTCCTTCCTATCCACCGATTGGGAAAGGTTTCATCCCAAAATGTACGCACAGTGGCAGCATAGTGCGGAGGAGCACCATCTTGCTGGAAAATTAGTTCTTCGTCAGGATCGTCTGAGTCCAATGGATTTGCAAATAAAGCTCGTAATGCTGGAACTAATTCAAATTGGAGAAAATCGAGATACATTTGTCCCTTTAAAGTCTGTTTTAAGAGAAAAGTGGACCTATTACGCTTCCGCGCACTATTCACACCACACATTTAGTTTTTGAGGGTACTGGGTGTTCACCTCCATCATCCAATGCGGATTTTCTGTTGCCCAATATCGACAATTTTGTCTGTTCACACAACCATTCAAACAGAACGTGGCTTCATCGGAAAAACTAATATTTGTTACTAAATTATTATTTCGCACATGTTTTGCAAGCATTTACAAAACTCATTTCGCCTATCGAAATCGTCTTCAAATAACTCTTGCACAGGAATAACTTTGTAGGGGTGATATTTGTGCTTTTTAACTATTCGGTGAACTACCGATTTCGCCATGTGTAAATTGGCCCCAATCTGCGACAGAGGAGTGCATGGATTTTCTTCCAAAGAAAGTAAAACGTCAAGTTGTTCATTTTCATCTCGAGCAGGACGACCAGATTTCGGCAGATCTTTAAAATGACCGAATTCTCTAAATTTAGCCTCTATTCTACTCACCAGCTTTTGACATATCGGAGGACAATCAGGATGGATTTCATTGAATAATTGAGCAGCTTCTCTTTGAGTACGTGTTCTATCACCAAACCCAACCATGCACAGAATTTCTATTTTGTCTCGTTCCGTTAACTTCACCATTGTGAAAACCGCAACTTTGCTCGTACACTTGACAATATCTGTTTGGCGTACAATTGCCATACAGTTTCTATGAAAATACACGGTCACCAGCCATCATTAAACAAACACGACTGAATGGAATTTTGGTCTGTTTATAAAAATTCTAAGAGATACAGTGACTCGTAAGGTGACCCTCAATAATAATGTTCGGCCGTATTTTTCGATAACTGTTAACTTTAGGTATAGGACATGATGCATGAAACATACGTAGAATTCCACGCGAAATTCAAAAATGAAATAAAAAAACGTGCTTTCATTCGAAAAACTGAAGTTGATGGTCGTAATTTATTTTTGAGCAACCCTGTATATACAAACTTCACGTACAAAAATGCGCAACTTGAAATAATAATCGACGGGTACGAGCGTTTTTTTTCGAACACACCCCTGAATTTTAAATGAATTTAGGCATAACTTTTGGGATGCACTGTATATTACATTTATCACATAATCATTGAATAATTTTTTGCATATATTTTAAGACTTTATTAGGTCTGTCATAATTTAAACTTGTGTAAGCCTTTCCTCAAAAGCTGATAATCATCTTCAATATGTTTGCTTTCCTCTTCCAACTGCTTGAGCTTTGTCCTTGCTTCTTGCAAGACCCTTTCAGTGATACTTTCTGAACCTTGACTGCTACAACTATCTAAATCTGAAAAAAAATTATTTACTTCCAAACAAGATATTTATTGGAGTCAAGAAAAATTCATGATATTGCGATGTATACCTTTGTTGTCTACAGATGTGTCATCCAGTATTCTTACATCAGTATCTTTCAGTTTGGTATTTAGAAGTTCAATTTTTTTCTGGCAAGTTAGAAAATCCTTTACTAAATCCTTATAATTTGTAGACAGCTTATTAATTTCTTCTAATTGTTCTCTATTCCTTCGTAGTAATTTTTCATTCTCTTTCTTTAAATTCTCCACTGTGTATGCCATGTGTCTACAACTGTCATCACAATGTTTCAAATTGCAGACCACTTCATTGTAAACAGTCTGATCCTTTTTTGCTGGTAGTTGGTCATTCATAGTTTGCTTTGCATATCTTTTCACATGCTGTTTAAGGACTTTATGTTCTTTATGTATTTGTTTAAGTTGAACTTCAGCCAAATATTTAGCCTTCTGTATTTGCTCAAGTTGGTTTTGATAATTATTTGCTTCAGTTCTAAGAGTATGTATTGTATTCATATACTTTTTTTGTATGTCTTTCAACTCACAACTATGTAGTAATTTTATATTTTCAATGGCACAATTGAATCTAGAAGGAGACATTCCTTCTTGTATCAAAACTCTTCCAACGCCCTTGATAAAATTAGTTTCGTTTGTCAGATCTACAAAAATATGTTTCACATAGTTTACAAATAAAATTGAAACTGTTACACATGGAATTAAGTACATAATGTTGATAAAATTGAATGATTTTTTTATAGATGTTCACAATATAAACATGATTAGCTTGCCCCATGAACTGAAAATTGTTAGAACTTCATAATGTTGGAAAAATAAATAACATCTTACTTACCTACATATGATGTAGTATTATCTTCTTTAATCTGTTTGTTAATAATTTTACATAATAAGTGAACAAGAGATTCTAATACTGAATTATACCCTGAATCTGCATAGTATAAGTTCACCAATTCTTTACATTCATCTGATGTTTTTGAAACACCTATTAATTCCATAACATTCAAAAAGTTTTCATAATCTAGTCTGAACTGATCCTTTTTATCGGCTATTCCACTTTTATATACATGTTCAGGGAAAATGTTTGCAACTGCAGCCTCAGTGTTGAAAAGTGATAGTGAGTAGTGGAACTGATTTTGCAATAAAAATTCTGCTATTATCAAATTTATTGCCTGCATTGCTAGACTAGTTCGTTGGGCACTTTTTTCAACGATACATCTACCAGCAACTGTGTTTTTCAGTATATTTATCATTTTGTAGCGTAACTGGACTTTCATTTCTGAAATTACCCCTTTTTCTTGAAACCATGTTTTCAGCAACTTTTGAAACTCTTCTGGCGAGAGATTTTCCGTTGCGTTTTCATAAGATATAGCAGCAGTAATATTTTCCATTGTAAGAAATCCAGAATTTTATTTAAGCATTTTCAGAATGTTTTGATTTTTAAAAACTATCACCAATCGCTTGTGACATTGACATTGAACATCACAACAAAACATGGAGAGGATCGAGAGCATAACAAAATTGGAGCTGTGTTCGAAGCTTCAAAATAAGGAGACTCAACAGTCACGTGACACTAAACAACCGTTTTGATTGTTCAATTCAAAATATAGACTAAAAATGGCACCTTGTCGTTTACATTTCAAGCAGGGCAGAAACATAACATATTACATTTCTATTTTGTTGCTCTATGAAATTTCGGTTTCACCAATCAAAAGTATCCGTCAGCCTGACTCCGCCAATCATACGATAGGGTAAAGGGCAATTAGAATAAAAATTATCCAACCAAGTTTAGGCACTGTGACGCCTAATTATGACATTGTTTTTGTTTTGATGTCAAGATCATCTGATTATTGCCGATTTATCCAAAATAAAAAGCAAATATTTGGAAACAAACGTTTCGCAATGATAGTGGTGCAATATGAAATGTTGTCCAAATATATATGTTCTTTGTTGTGACACGAATCAGTTGAGTTTCCATTTTGGCTGTATGAAAACCTGTGAAAAATGTTTCTGAAAGTGCAATATATCTCTGTGGCGTGTATCTTTTTCACGTTAGAAACCCTTTCTTGGGCTTATCTCAATCCTGTTATACTTATTCCTGGAGATGGAGGATGTCAGGTAGAAGCTAAATTGAACAAATCGTCTGTAGTTCATTATATCTGTGAGAAAATTACCAAAGATTACTTTACAATATGGCTTAATCTGGAACTGTTGGTACCTTTAGTAATAGATTGTTGGATAGATAATATTAAGCTTTATTATGATAACAATACGAGAACAACCCATAATCCGCCAGGAGTCCAAACACAAGTACCAGGATTTGGTATTACTGAGACAGTCGAATGGTTAGATCCAAGTCATGCTTCCTCAGGGTCTTACTTTAATGATGTGGTAGCTACATTAGTGAGCTTAGGACATGTAAGGAACAAGACTATTAAAGGAGCACCATATGACTTCAGGAAAGCACCAAGTATGTATAATATAAAAAAAATATTTCAAAATTCTGTACCCCAGAGCCAGACTAGGTTAAGTCCATTTTTCTCAAAAATAAGTTTAATATGTTAAGCTTATGACAATATTGTGAATTTTCACTTGCTACATGCTGCAAACATCTATCTGCAATAATAAGGAAGTTACAACTTTTTAACTCATGTCAAGTCGCATATAATACAATGCCAGAAAAATATTTCAAATGAAGTTATCTCAAAACTATGTATTTTGACTTACCCTAGTCTGGCTGTGAGGTACAGAATTAGGATTTGCTTTATTGTACATATATGATTATATTTTCAGATGAAAATGTTGAATACTTTGTGTATCTGAAAAAGCTAATAGAAGATACATATGATGAAAATGACAAGACCCCTGTGATAATCATAGCTCACTCAATGGGTGGTCCCATGGCTCTCTATTTTCTGAACTTACAAACTCAGTCTTGGAAAGACAAGTATATAAGAAGTATTGTTACACTCAGTGGAGTTTGGGGTGGATCAATGAAAGCTGTGAAAGTCTATGCTATTGGTAATTTTTTTTAGAACTTGTAAGATACTAGAAAATTCCATAGAATACATATATTTTTTATAAAAAGCTCATCAGTGTCTTGTTTCTTACTACCAGCTACTTATAGCAGATTTTTCTTTTTCCACTGGTGTATTGGGCAGGGGGGGAGTATTCAAGCCCCTCCCATCCTTGGCCTTGTATCTTCCCGAATGAGTCCTGAGCAAAACCCAACTTTTTTCTGGATATGCCACTGATTTTCTCTACAATAGACCATATTGGATTTAATTAATTTAATTATAAACAGGAGATGACTTGGGATCAATGGCACTGAGAGAAAGCATCATGAAACAAATGCAAATCACTTTTCCTAGTCTAGCATGGCTTCTGCCATCTAGATTGTTCTGGAAGCCAGATGAAGTTCTTGTGCAAACAGATAAGAAAAATTTTTCACTTAACAATCTGGAAGAATATTTTAGGTAAGCAGGACACTTTGAACAATACAACTGTCATATTGATTAAGCAGATATAATTTATTTAATATTGCACATTATGTGTTTAGTTTTAGACAGAAAAGCTGGCATTTATCAATTCAATGTTGAATTCAAGTTTTATCAGTGTATATTCGTATGTTCTTATTAACAGTTATCATCACTATTTATACATGCTCTTATTTTGGTATGATAAATGGTTTTAAAGAAACAAGATAAACGTTAGGTGCTGATTTATTAGGTAGTTTATGACTCGTTTTCAGGGGTTTATCATATCCAGAAGGCTGGGAGATGAGAAAAGATACTGAACCCTACCAACTCCATTTTCAACCACCAGGAGTTGAAGTCCACTGCTTGTATGGTGTTAATGTACCAACAGTGGAAAAGTAAGTATTAACAGACAATAAATTAAGTGTTACTGTTTTCGGTAGTTAATTGTAGTAAGGCAAATTTTATATGGCTGTTGAAAACGTGGCAGTTTCAGCGTCGGCCTATTAGGTAAATTGCATTCCTGTAGAATTAATGACAAGATATAATAAGCCTAACGTTGGGCGCTCTTTTTTTTCAGGTACTCCATTTTTCTAGGCGTTACGTTTACTGATGTACGAGGACGGTTCAATAAATACCCGTGTTTGACGACAGAGGGCGTTCCTGACGGAAGTTAATAGGTATTATCATCGTGTGCTGTCATCTATCAAAAGACGGCACAACAAATTTCAGACTGATTGATAGGTTATATTGGATTTGGCAGCCATTCTAGTAACACGTGTTTCGTGATTTTCGCTAAGATGGAAAAAGAGCAGTATCGTTCGGTAATTCCCTTTTTGTTTCTGGATGGGAAAATATGCGAGGAGACAAAAGCAAAGTTAGATGCTATTTATGGGGACACTTCGGCATCTATCACCACAGTTAGGTATTGGTCAAATGAGTTTAAACGTGGGCGAACATCCGTTTTTGATGAGGATCGACCAGGACGCCCGGCAGACGTGGTTACCGAGGAAATCATTCAAAAAGTCCACGACATGATTCTCGCTGATCGACAAACGAAAGTGCGCGAAGTAGCAGAGGCCGTAGGTGTGCCGACCGGAACGGCAATCAATTTTTGACATGATAAGTTGGCTATGAAAAAATTGTCGGCCCGATGGGTGCCGTGATTGCTCACGGTGGACAACAAACGGATGCGGCTGTTAACTTCGAAGCACTGTTTGGAGCAATTTAAGCGAAATCCGAAGGAGTTTTTGCGTCGAGTGAATCTGCTCCAAAGAAGGCGAAGACGGTCCCATCGGCTGGAAATGTCATGGCGATGATTTTTTGGGATGCGAACCGCATGTATTTTTTACAAAAAGGAAGAACGATAGTGATATAGATACTATAGTGAGTTATTGGACCGCTTTGACAAAAAAAAGAAGGAGACACGGCCACATTTGACGATAAAGAAGATGCTGTTTCACCACGATAACGCACCAGCACATTCATCCGGAGTTGTCGCCGCCAAACTGCATGAATTGCGTTATGAAGTGCTGGGAGGTATTCACCCGATCTGGCCCCCTGCGACCTTTTCTTGTTCCCTGACATGAAGAAACGGCTCGCGGGGAAAGCATTTAGTTCAAACGAGGCAGCCATCGCCGGGACAGGCGGATTCTGGAGAGATCGACAAATCCTATTTTTTGAGGGGGTTTAAAAAATGACAGGGACGGTGGGAAAAGTGTATCTTTCTAAAAGGGGATTATGTTGAAAATAAAAAGATTTTTTTTTGGAAAAAATGATGTCTACATTTCTAACACGGGTACTTATTGAACCTCCCTCGTATGGTGTTTCTCAGGAATTGCTTCTATGTATCTATGTTGATAAAAAAGAAAACCCTTTTTTATTATGGTTGCGTCTTTGGCATGATCAGCGTCGTAGTATATCATGTTCAAAACATCGTGTCCATAGCATCCGGTGACTGACTGCTTCCGCCATCTGTTCGGTATCTATTTTCAATCGATAATTTCCAGAGCTTCTCGATCGAAATCGACTTTCGTGGAAGCCGTTTAGATAGCGGTAGATTCATCTCTAGACGTGTCGGGTGTTAACGTTGGCGTCGCGAACGCTTCAGACTGCGACCACGCTCCATACATGGTCGCGTAATTCTCGTTGTCTAAGCGTTCGCACTGCAAAGGCGTCCCATCGCGACTCAAGCTCCCAGTTACGAGGGTGTTACATTAATAATTATGACAGTCAAGGCTATGAGATTTATTTTCCCATTCTTAGTATCGGTTTCGGGGTATACGTAAAAATTGCGCCGCAAGTCCTCATTATTTGCATCTAGGTGAAGTAGCCTTTAAATTGCGTTTTTTACAGATTGTTTTACACAAAAGGCACATGGTTAGATGGCTACCCGACACTTCTGAACGGAGACGGTGATGGTACCGTCAACAGACGCTCCTTGGAGGGATGCCTCCATTGGAGAAGTTTACAGAAGCAGAAGGTCTTCCAAAGGGAACTGCCTACGGTGGACCATTTGAAAATCTTGCACGATAAAAGTACTTTGTCCTATATTATAGATGTTGTAAGGATGGCTGCCGTGCAAAATATTCAGAGGAAGCATTGGTCTAGTTATGGTTGACGTTGAGGAAAGCTTAGGAAGATTTTTTGGATATTAGTCAATGCATATGTGTAGAAAAGTCATAATGATAAATATATAATTTGATGGAGTTTTCTGCGTAAGTTGTCTGTAGGTCAGAAATTCTTTCAATTCCACAAATTTTACGTGTTTGAAGTCAATCTTTTGTAAGGATACAATCTACAAGTTTCCTGTCGTTTGCTGTTCCCTGGAAAATACGTCTGGGGATCCTGAAACTGAATTTTTATAGATTCGAACAAATACGATTATTTTTTTTAGTTTGGGCATTGATTAACGTATTGTAGCTATAGATAAAATGAGATACTATGGCGTCATCTTCGAGAATTTAGCTAGTTAGTAGCCCATAGATGACGCTGTAGCACATTATACGAGCTTATAGATAATATAATTGGTGAGCTTTCATATGGTTTATGCAGAACAGTTTATTAAGCAAATTTTTCAACAGAAAATGATCAACTGTGAACAAATTCTTCTTTTTTCATTTTTAATCAAACAATAAATAGAGCAGAAGGTCCGAATTTGAGCTCCCCATTTGTTTTGCTTAAATAGTTTCCAGAGATTTTGGAATTTTATCATAAGTTTGGGACACATAACCCTTAATGTGTTTGTTACAGTATTTTCACGTTGTATTTATTTTTTATTAAAAAAAAACTTTTAAAAAACTAACAAAATAGCAAAGAGTGTAAATTTTGAAAACAGAGGCAGAGTGCTCTAAATATGGGCCGCTTTAAAAAGTGTAATAGAGAACGCTATTTTTATTAAAAAACCAGTAAAAAATATTCTTATTCAAAAACTAATAACTAATAAACATTTTTTTGGCAAAAACATAGGTTGAAGAATACATATATCGTCTACATAAGATACATATTATTTAACGATCAAAGTCGAACAAATAAAAACTAAGAAACTGTTTTTTTCAGCGTGTTAACAAAAACTAACTTTTCGTTCTTATCAAAAACAAACAAGAACTCAAACTTAAATCTAAGTAAATTTAACGACAAAAGTCACATACGTAATCGTCTTTTTCAGCCCCTGAACATTGTTCATGTGCCCACAGGTTGCACATAATGCAACGAACCCAAAGCTCTCCTATCTGGTTTTCAGAAAAACGTTCATCACAAAATAGGCAAACGGCGTCTTTATCATCACATACAGACTGTCCTATTTCATCAACATCCATGTCTTCATCATCCGGTACAAAGGCTTGCTTGTCAGATTCATCATCAGATTTTTCTTTTTCAGTAATTTCTGGAAAAACTTTTCTCTTTACCAGTGCTTTAGCCTGCATGATCTACTACGTGAGGGTTCAGGTTGATTCTCTTTTGTCAGTTTCTTCGAAGCTGAAGTAGATTGAATACCCGTAAAAGATCTTTTCACTATCGGCATGTTCGCAACATCCAAAAATTTTGAGTATTGTTTTGCTTATTATTGCCCGTTGATTTGTCTTTCATTTTCAGTGAAGCGATGCTGCAATTTTTTTCAGCTTCTACTTCTTCTGCTATGAAATATGCATCGGAGAATATGTGGCGATCAAAATGATATATGCCGGTTGCTTTAAACCCGTTTACTGCAATCTCAGCAGACTGTGATTTTAAAAGCTTTACCCAAAAGCTCTGCAAGATCAAATTGACTAAAGGTACGATGATGTAGCCAATTTCTAATTTCCTCACTATAGTACATCTTAAAGGCCCCCATGAAGGTTTTGTCCACCGGCTGGAGTTTGTGTATTGAATGAGGTGGTAGAGAAATTATAGTTAATGATTTTCTCTAGCCAGCAGAACTACTTCCAGATTCCTGGTGTGGCTATAGTGACCATCTAGCAGTAACATAACAGGAGAATCATCCGATGGCTTAACGAATTCTATAAAATGCTTAATCCAGTCAACAAAGAGATTATGTTGCACCCAGCCACTGGGGTGTACAGCATACATTGAACCAGGAGGTGCACCACGCATGAGTTGATCATTACGATTTTTCCGTGGAAAAATTAACATCGGTGGAACAAAATGACCACCGACTCCCATAGCTGCAATTAAAGTGACCAGGGATCCTCGTTCTGCTGATGCAATCTGTCTTTTACCTTTCCTTCCTACAACCTGCATTACTTTACTTTGAACAACAGTTAAACCTGTCTCATCTACGTTATAGATTTGGTGCTGTATAAAATTTTTCGCTTTGTACTGGGTTTCCAAATTATTGAAAAACTCTTCTACGTTCGCTTTGTTAAAACCTAATGCCCTGGCAAAAGAGGTTCCAGTTGGTGTTCTAAGAGATAGCATCTTCTTATGCCGAGTTAAAAAGCCGTCCAACCAGCTACCATTTTTAAATGGATTCTCAATACCATTCTTAATAGACAAAGTATAAGCCAACCTTCTAATATCATTTCTTGAAAGTCGATAATATAAGGCTTCCATTTCTAAAATATATCTAACCATTGTTCAAGCTCTGATCCTAATACAGTTTTTCTTCCCAACTATGTACAGCAACTTGTGGAGTCAGATCTTTTTCTTTTTGGCGTTTACGCAGTCTTTGTAGAGTTGATCTAGGAACTTTAAATCTTTTACATACACGCTTGGTACCCATGATTTGTTTATTCACACATTCCATGGCCCCCACCATGTCTTCATTTTTCCATTTCTTTCTTATATTTTTTGGTAAAAACTTTGGTTTTGAACGTGGCATTTTCAGTCTAAAATAAAAAAAATATTAGACGTTGCTCTAAATATGGACTTGGGCCTATATTACCGACATCAAAAGGGCCCATGTTAGCAACATTGCACACTTCAAAACAAAAAATCGGAAAAAAATCATGGTTGGTTAATTTAATATCAGTTCAAAAACATCAAATTTTAAGATATAAAGAACCTACCTTAATAATATAAGCAGTTATATTTATGCTATTTCCTATTAAAACTAAAATTTGAAGATTATCTTGAAAAACGATGTAATTTTTACAAACAAAATATCAACACTATCCTCGGTTGCAAAGCAGTGCGCCACTGAGCGGGATTATATAAAACGTTTTTCACCAAAACCGAGTATTTTAAGGCAAAATTGATAGATTTCGCTACTTGGGCGGTTGAGATATCGAGGGGCCCATATTAAATGCAGAGCCCATATTCGGACCTTCTCCTCTACTCATATTTAGTGAACATTTATCATAGTTTAAGAATAATGCTATGAGAGGGAAAATATTCAAGAATGATATGCATATTTTTAGAAATATCACGCACTTTGTTATTTGCCATCTTATCTGTTGATCTGGAGATTGTACTCGTATAAGGCTAGTGTACTATAGTTTTAAGATAGTCTGAATAATAAGAGCTCATATTTGACTGTCATGTTGTTGCTCTCTTGCCAATATTATAAGTAGGTATATTATAAAATATTATTTATTTGCCTGCTTCCTTCTTATTACAGCTTCCTGTTTACTTCAGTTATTGTGATTATTTAGGAAAACATGTATGTATATATTATGTATAAATAATGACAAAAATAAAGTCCTATTTTTAGGCTAAACTTAATGTTTCTTAAATATACCATTATGACAAAATAACTGGGGGGTTCAGGGGGGATGACACCAGAAGTACCAAGCAAGAGTTATAATTTGCACTAGAGACGGAAAACATTATCATCACGTTATGTTCACGCCCTGGAGACCTTGTCAAAGTACGTCGGTCAGTTTGTTACTCTGTCGGCCTGGTCACCCAGAAACCAGACATGATTAATAGAAAGCAGAAAGAAAAAAGGATGAAAAAATAGGGAGAGCAAAGAGTAAGAAAGAAGAATACAACTGTTAGAAAGACCGAGGAGCATTGTTGAAAATTACTGTAATAATTTTGGTTGGATTTTTGTTAAAATATTATTTTATATTATACGAAATTGCGCGATTCAATTTTGTTCACAGTGCGCGCCGCGACCTGGAATGTTTGCGAAGCTGCTAAACTGTATAGTCTACTGACTCGATCAACAAAATGTTGCAATGCGATTCTGATTGTTTATAACACCTGATGCTTGATGTAATCCTCTGAATAAGGAAGATCTCTGAGTAGCGTTTGAGACATACTATGGGGCATTGGTGATGGTTCGTAGGGTCCTGCTTTGCAGGACCTGCAGAGCTCGGATGTGCGTCTTCGCTAGAACGCACCAAGCTGCACATGCGTAAGTAATGGTGGGTCTGATGATCATTTTGTAAAGTCGAGTGTTGTTAATCAAGCTCAATTTTGAAGATCTACTTAATAAGGGATAAAGCTGCCGGAAAGTAATTTGAAATTTAGTTTTAAGCGTTTCTGAATTTTTTCGCCAGATCATACCCTTGTCAAGTGTAAGTCCGAGGAATCTCAAGGAATTTTTCCACGGTATCAGAGTCCCATCCACAGAGTTCGCTGACGGGGCGCCGTGACGCTTTTTGGTACAATAGATGGTCTTTTTAAATGGTTAAGTTTGATCAGCCACCGATCTGCCCACCCTAACACTTCCTCCACCGCACATTGTAGCCAGTCATGGACCAGGTTACCAAAACAGGACTGGGCCACTAATTCAGTGTCATCTGCGTAGAGATAGACTTCACAGTTGCTGGCGTTAGGGACGCCATGAATGAACAACGAATGAAGGATTACTCCAAGGAGCGAACCCTGAGGAACACCGGCTCTTATAGGCCGTGTTGTTGACAGTACGTTGTTAATTTTGATTCGGAATTTCCTTCCACCGAGAAGGGACTTAAGAACTTTCAGAAGCCAGAAATGAAAACCCTTTTGGATTAATTTATAGAGGAGGTCATCATGCCACGCCTTGTCAAAAGCTTTCGCGACATCCAGAAGCACGATGCCAGTACTTTTGTCATTGGTAAAACCGCTACGACCAGACTAACTGTCGAGGAATTTTCTGTAATATTAGACTTTTGGCTATTTCAAATACCGCACACCTAAATATTAATATCAATCTGATTTGATATTTGCCTTCGATAAATCATTAGCTTAACTCTTTCAAGTTCAATGATTTTATAAAATTTATTATGTATTTGGGCACAAAAAATATTTTTTTAAATTATTTGTTTCACATATAAAATGCTATTTGGGGATATTAATAATACTCAAAACTTTGTATATCTTTTATTTTTACATGTAATTTTTTATATAATTGCCAAATAATAAGTGGTGCTATATACATATGTACCACCACCCTTTGGTTGAGGATACAGGTTTGTTTCAAAAACAATACTTTCTATGAAACAGTCAGAAAAAAATAATTGAAACAATTTATACGGTGTTGGATCTGTCATATTCGTTACACAATCTGCTAAACCAGAATGTGCAGTAAAATCTGAAGATGGTGTAAGAGTTTCAACATTAGACGTAACTGGACATTTTCTTCCAACTAATGAAGCAGATGTAGCTAGTTGCAGTTTTTTAGCGATAGTTGACAAAGGTAGATCATCTTCAGAGTCACTACTTGAATATTTCAACACGTTGCTTCTATTGGGCCTACCACACGCCCAAGCTTCACCACAGTTTTACCTGCGTAGGTAAGACTGCGGTGAAGCTTGAACACGGACGTGACTCCCATACGGCACAGTTAAGTACGCGCAAAAGCCACATTCTTGTCAAAATCGTGGTCGTGGAAACAATGTTTTCCAATGAAGAACTATTTCTTGTGTTCTGTTCTGTATCTTAAGGTTTTGTTAATGAAGAAAAAGACACCGCTAAAGTCTAAACGTAAACGACCGCAGTGGATGGAGAAATGGCTGTTCAATAGAAAAATTCATTTACATATAAATCTACTGGAGGATTTAAAAAATGATTCGAACGACTGGCGAAATTATTTATGGATCTATCAAAATGCCACTACTGAATTATTACGCTAGGTTACGCCTCTTATTCAGCGTCAAAATACGGCTATGCGTGAGAGTATATCACCTCACGAAAGGCTGATAGCTACTTTAAGATTCCTAGCTACTGGAATATCATACCAAAATTTGGGAAAGGTACAGTGATACAGAGGAATGAGGTCGTGATTGGCTTATTTCTTATTGTGAATGTTGAGTTTTAAAATAGTTCTCTGATTGCGAGTATGGAGAGTGTGGCTTGAACACTGAACACCCAACCACACGCACAGACAGGTACGCGCAGGCCAGGCCTGCCTAAGCAAAATTTCGAACAAATCAAAAATTGCACAAGCCACGCTGCGAGGTTTGCGCAAGCCAACAAAACGCCAACCACATGCACAATGTTCCATGTACAAACCGCCCTGCGCAGGTAAAACTGTGGTGAAGCTTGCGCGTGTGGTAGGCGCATAAATAGTAGATTCTGTATCACTTTCTTGATTGTATCTGTTACTCGCTAACTATTCACAGTCAGATGGAATTTCTTGAGCGTCTTTACGACTTTGTTCCATTTCTTAATAAATGTCTTCGATTTAGGCGTATAATTCACCTTGCGTCATATTGACTAACTTAAATGGCAAGTCAAACATGTTGTAAGTCTGAAAATAAAAAAAAACTAGGGTGAAAAATAAAAAAGTAATATGTGGGGTGGTACGCATTGAGTACCACTAACTATAAAGCATTTAAGAGTTTTTTTTTTCAAATAAATAAAGGATACAATCTTAACAAAACAACTTTAATAACATAAGTACATCGAAATCAGACAATTTTACTTACTTTTTTAGTGTTTCCATACTCACAGCTCGTATATATTCTGGACAAATGAATCATAATTTTGCTTTTACAGGCGGTATTTCAGTCACCCGCACTATTGCTGGTACATGCGCTCTTAGGCCCGTATCGTCAGTCGTCCCTACAATTGTAGGGCACCTTTATGGCCTCCTTGATTGTCATAGTTTTCTACTTCTCCGTCTCGGCGTTCTATTTTGAGGTTATGTCACAAACATCTATTTGAATCAAATTGTGCTTGCTTTTGAGTTATATCATGTTTTATCAGCCTGAAATTTCCTACAATTTAAAAAGAAAACATATCTTCCAAATAGGAGAGCGCTGACGCTGACACGGGACAAATGTTTATCTAGAAATTTTTGAAGGAGAGAAAGGAGTATGACAATCAAGGAGGCCATAAACGCGCCGTACAATTGTAGGGACGACTGACGATACGGGCTTCCTTGATTGTCATACTCCATTTCTCTCCTTCAAAAATTTCTAGATTACACTTGTACCGTGTCAGCGTCAGGGCTCTCCTATTGTGAAGATATGTTTTCTTTTCAAATTGTAGGAAATTTCAGGCTGATAAAACATGATATAACTCAAAAGCAAGCACAATTTGATGCAAATAGATGTTTGTGACATACGTTTGTGAAGAACTTACTTCGAGCGGTGGTTCATGATCTAAGCCGCTGCTCGATCTGTAAATGAAATTTATATCAGTGGTGCTAAATATGTACCACCGCCTAATTTAAGCATGCTTTAAGGTGGTTTATTTTATAT